TACCTGTAGTCTCAGATACTTGGGAGGCTGAGGGAAGAGAATCAATTAAGTCCAAGAGTTCGAGGTTGTTGTGAGTTATGATGCCACAGCACTCTACTGAGGGCAACATAGTGTGATTCTGTCTCAAAAAAGAGAGAGAGAGAGAGCAAGAGAGAGAAGGAGATTATTAGACTTGTGAAACAAAATGATTAATAAGCCACAAACTATCAAAACCTTTGGGATACTGCAAAGGCAGTCCTTAAAGGGAAATTTATAGTATTAGATGCCTTCATCAAGAAAACAGAAAGAAAGCAACTCAGCAACCTAATGGGCCATCTCAAGAAACTGGAAAAGGAGGAACAATCTAATCCCAAACCCAGCAGAAGAAAAGAAATAACCAAAACTAGAGCAGAACTAAATGAAATTGAAAATGGAAGAATTATTCAGATCAGAGAAACAAAAAGTTGGTTCTTTGAGAAGATTAATAAAATTGATAAATCCTGGCCTAGACTAACAAGAAACAGAAAAACAAGATAAAATATTACATATTTTAATAACTAAAATCAGAAATGATAAAGGGGAAATAAGAACAGATGGCACAGAAATACAAAAGTTTTTCTACAATTACTACAAAAAACTTTATTCCCAGCAATGTGAAAATGTAGAGGAATCATATACCTTCCAAAACTCAGCCAGAAGGATTTATAAATCTTGAATAGACCAACATCAAGTACTGAAATAGCATCAATTATACAAAATTTCCCCAAAAGTACTGAAAAAGCATCAATTATACAAAATCTCCCCGAAATGAAAAGCCCTGGACCCAACAGTTTCCCACCAGAATTGTATCAAACTTTCAAAGAGGAACTAGTTCTTATAATGCATAAAAAAATAAAATTATAGACCACTATCATTAATGAATATTGATGCAAAAATATTCAAAAAGATATTAGCAAACAGAATGCTACAACACATTAAAAGGTTACACACCATGATCAAATGGGTTTTATCCTAGAGACACAAGGTTGGTTCAACATACACAAATCCATAAATAGAATTACACTACATAAATAGAATTAAAAACAAAGACCACATAATTCTTTTAATTGATGCAGAAAAGGCTTTTAACAATATCCAGCATCGTTTCATGATAAAAACACTCAAGAAAATAGGCTTAAAAGGAACATTCCTTAAGCTGGCAGAGGCTATCTATAATAAACCCATAGCACATTAAATGGAGTAAAACTGAAAGTATTCCCACTCAAATCTGGAATCAGATAAGGATACCCACTGTCTCCACTGCTATTTAACATAATTTTGAAAGTCCTAGCCTTTGCAATCAGGCAAGAGAAGGAGATCAAAGGAACCAAATGGGGGCAGATGATGTTATACCTGGAAAACCCCAAGGACTCAACTACAAAGCTCTTAGAAGTGATCAAGGAATCTCGGGTTACAAAATAAATACCCACAAGTCAGTAGCCTTCGTATAGGCCAACAATTGTCAAGCTGAGAACAAAATCAAAGACCCTCCTTTTACAATAGAACCAAAGAAGATGAAATACGTGGGAATATACCTAACAAAAGATGTGAAAGATCTCTATAAAGAGAATTATGAAACTTTGAGAAACGAAATAGCACAAGATGTCAACAAATGGAAGAGCATACCATACTCATGGCTGAGAAGAATCAACATCATTAAAATGTCCATACTTCCCAAAGCAATCTGTAGATTTAATGAAATTGCCATCAAAGCACCAATGCCATACTTTAAAGATCTTGAAAAAACAGTATTTCAATTCATATGAAACCAGAAAAAAAAACAAATAGCAAATACAGTTCTTAGAAATAGAAGCAGTTGGGCAATGCCCATAGCTCAGTGGGTAGGGCACGTCCACATACACAGGGTGGCAGGTTTGAACCTGGTCCAGACTAGCTAAAAAACAACAATAACAACTGCAACAACAACAAAAAAAAAAATTAGCAGGGCATTGTGGCAGGCACCTGTAGTCCCAGCTACTTGGGAGGCTGAGGCAAGAGAATTGCTTGAGCCCAAGAGTTTGAGGTTATTGTGAGCTGTGATAGCACAGCACTCTATCAAGGGCAACAAAGTGAGACTCTGTCTCAAAAAAAAAGAAAGAAAGAAAAACAATTCTGGGGACATCACATTGCCAGATTTCAGGTTATATTACAAGGCTATAGTGATCAACACAGCATGGTACTGACACAAAATAGAGAGACAAATCTATGGAATAGGATAGAGAATCTAGAGATGAAACCAGACATGTATCATCATTTAATCTTTGATAAGCCTAAAAAAAACATGGAATGGGGAAAAGAATCCTTATTTAACAAATGGTTCTGGGAGAACTGGTTATCCACATGCAGAAGACTGAAACTGGACCCACACCTCTCACCAATGACAAAAATTGATTCTCATTGTATAAAAGATTTAAATTTAGGACATGAAACAATAAAAATTCTAGAAGAGGGTGTGGGGGAAACACTTGAAGATATTGGCCTGGGAAAAAATTTTATGAGGAAGACCCCCCCTAGCAATGGCAGCAACACCAAAAATAAATATCTGGGACCTGATCAAGCCAAAAAGCTTTTGCACAGCTAAGAGTATCACAAATACAGCAAACAGACAGCCCTCAGAATAGGAGAAGATTTTTGCATGTTATGAATCTGACAAAGGCCTGATAATTAGAACCTACAGTGAACTCAAAGTAAGCTATAAGAAAAGTGTAAACAACCATCTCTGTAAGTGGGCAAGAGATTCAAACAGAAACTTCAAGGATGACAGATGAATGGCTAAGAAACACATGAAAAAATGCTCATTGTCTTTAATCATCAGAGAAATGCAAATCAAAACCACTCTAAGATATCACCTAACCCCAACAAGATTAGCCCACATCACAAATTCCCAAAACACCAGATGCTGGTGTGGATGTGGAGAGAAGGGAACATTTCTACACTGCTTGTGGGATTGCAAACTAATACAGCCCTTTTGGTGAGAAGTATGGAGAATTCTCAAAGGTCTAAATGTAGACATTCCATTTGTCCCTACAATCCCATCATTACTAGGTTTCTACCAAGAAGAACAAAAAAAACTTTACCACAAAGACATTTGCACTAGAATGTTTATTGTCAATCTATAATTGCCAAGTCATGGAAGCAACCTAAGTGCCCATCAACTCATGAATAGATCAACAAACTGTGGTATTTGTATACCATGGATATTATTCAGCCATTAGAAAAGATGGAGACTGGCAGCGCCTGTAGTTCAGTGGGTAGAGTGCCAGCCACATACACTGAGGCTGGTGGGTTTGAACCCAGCCTGAGCCAGCTAAAGAACAATGACAACTGCAACAAAAATATAGCTGGGCATTGTGGCAGGCACCTGTAGTCCCAGCTGCTTGGGAGGCTGAGACAGGAGAATCGCTAAAGCTCAAGAGTTTGAGGTTGTTGTGAGCAGTGATGCCACTGTACTCTACTGAGGGTGGCATAGTGAGACTCTGTCTCAAAAAAAAAAAAGAAAAGAAAAGAAAAGGATGGAGATTTTACATCTTTTACATTTACCTGGATGGAGTTGAAATACATTCTTCTTAGTAAAGTATCACCAGAATGGAAAAATACATATCCAATGTACTCCATACTAATGTGAAATCAATATATAAACAATTACATGTTCCTAGCAACAATAAAACACTATTATAGTCCAGTTCAGGGGTAGAGGGAAGCGGGAGGGGGGAGGGAGGAGGACATATGGCAGAAGGACAGAGGGCATGAGGGGGGATCTCACCTACTGTGCACATTGTGAGCGTGAGGGGCTCTTCTACAAATGGAACTTTATTCTGGAAGTGAGAACAATGTAACCTAAATATTGTGCCCTCATATTAATTTTAATAAAGTTTTTTTAAAAAAGGAATATTAGGGGGAAGGGAAAATGGGTGGAGGGAGGGGGATTGGAGGGATCACTTCTGAGGTTTATCTTATAAGGGTACAAGTGAATCTTTCTAAGAGTAGAATGTGAACATTTTAAAACAATAACTGAAAAAATGACATGAAGGCTGTGCTGACCAGTTTGATGGAAGTATTTCGGATTGTGTGTGAAAACCCCACACTGTACCCCAGAAGTGCGTTAATGTACATAGTTACCATTTAATAAAAAAAAAAAAAATTGGGAGGTGGGGACTTTGGACTAAATACACATTTAGTAAAATGAAGACTGCTACTAATAAAATTAATGTGCGTATGTATAGTTAGAAAAAAAAAGGAATATTAGCATGTAGGTCAGACACAGTGGCTAACACCTATAATCCCAGCACTTTGGGAGGACAAGCTGAGAAGATCACTTGAGTCCAAGAGTTTGAGACCAGCTGGGGCAACATAGTAAGATCACTATCTCTACAAAAAAAAATACATATATATTTTTTAATTTACATATATATAAATAAATATATATGTGTGTGTATATATATACTATTTTTTTTTTTTTTAGTTTAGCTACTCAGGAGGCTGAGGCAGCAGGATCACCTCAGCTACAGTGAGCTATGATTGTACCACTGACCTCCAGCCTGGGTGTCAGAGCTAGACTCTGTCTCTAAAAATAAACCAAACAAATAAAAATAAAATTACAATGTAGGTTGTTATTAATTATTAGTCTATAGGCCCTTTAAAAATAAGAATACGTGCCTATTTCATTGTTATCATGATAGAAACAGCTAACTTCTCCCAGGTTTGCATCAAGCTGCCAGCATGTATTAGTCACTTATTCTCACAAATATAAATTGGGTGCTGCCATTATCCCCACTTAAAGATGATAAAACTGAGAATAGGGAGGTCACATGACTTTCTCAGAGAGCAGAGGAGCCAGGACTGAAACCCAAATCTGTCTGACCCTGAAGTCCGGGCTTGCAACCACTCTGCTATATTCAGAAGGCCCTGCAGAGTGTCAGGCATCCAGCAGGCACTCACTGAGTTTGTGTAATGTAGTGTCTGCCTGTCCCTCTTCTTCCCAGAGTTCACTTCCCCATGCCTGGCTCCTATGACTGGTGCAACACAGGTCTCAGCTTTGTGGTGAGACAGGCAGTGACCATCGAGATTGAGTTCTGTTCCTGGAAACAATTCCTGGATGGGAATGTGTCACAGCACATCTGGATGGTGGCAGGACCTCTGTTTGACATCAAGGCTGAGCCAGGATCTGTGGCAGCTGTGCACCTCTCTCACTTTGTGAACCTCCAAGGTAAATGACAGGGAGAGAAATTAGGGGCTAACAATGGGCTTGATGGGGAGTATAGATGATAGTGTCCTGGGGGAGAAGCTTATGGCTTCCATTGAGAGACTGGGAGTGGGTTAGGGAGGTAGAGACCAAGATTGTTGCTTCTTCTGCTCTTCTTTGCACACATCAGTTTTCAAACACATGTCCCCCACCTCATAATTATGTTTTCCTTATTTAAAAATTTCCCTAAATGGAAAATGATCTCATGACGATAATAATTAGCATCTATTAAGTGTTCTTTATATAGATTATATCACACAGTGTCCTAACAGGAAACAGATGATAGGCTCAGTTGAGATTTTAGAAGAGACTTTTCAAAACAGGACTATTTACCAGGTATGGCAAAGTGAGCTAACAGGAAATGTTGGGGTACCCAGAGACTAGGAACAGCAGGAAACCATTACTACTCCTACAGGCAGGGAGAAGAAACAGTGTCACCAGACTGTACTTGAGAACTGGAGCCATGAAAGAGAGACATCCCAATAGAATACAGTAGTCATAAAATATCCCTACCTCTGTCACCTACAGAGACTTCCAACAGATAAAGTTCCAAGAAATGAGTTCAGTCAAAAATCTTACATAGGGTAAATAAGGCACTATAAATAACAGCCAATGGAAACCACATATACCAGCATAAGTTCCTTAAATAAATACTTCAGATATGAGAATTATCAGAAACAGAACATAAAATGAGTGTATAAAACATGCTCGAAGTATTAAGTAGCCGTTTTTCTTCTTTTACTCACCACTATACAAATAAGGGAAAGTAAGTAATCTTAAGAATATGAGCAAGAAGCAAAAAACCATTAAAAATGATAACTCAAATTTGGAATAAAATTAAATTGACAGAAAATATGAAAAAATTAAAAAAGAAAAAGTGATAGGAATTGTGATATGTACACTGTGGAACATTATGCAGCCTTAAAGAAAGATGGAGACTTTACCTCCTTCATGTTTACATGGATGGAGTGCAAATATATTCTTCTTAGCAAAATATCTCAAGAATGAAAGAAAAGTATCCAATGTATTCAGCCCTACTATGAAACCAATTTACAGCTCTCATATGAAAACTATAACACAATTATAGCCTAAGAATATGGGGAAAGGGAAAAGGGAGGGGAGGGGAGGGGAAGATGGGTGGAGGGAGGGTAATTGGTGGGACCACACCTACAGTGCATCTTATAAAGGGTACATGTGAAACTTACTAAATGTAGAATATAAATGTCTTAACACAATAACTAAGAAAATGCCATGAAGGCTATGTTAACCAGTTTGATGAAAAGATTTCAAATTGTATATAAAACCAGCACATTATACCCCATGACAGCATTAATGTACACAGCTTTGATTTAATAAAAAAAAATTAAAAATATAAGAGATTTTTAAAAAGAAGAAAAAGTGATAGGGATGATATGATGAAAAGAGCTAATATGCACCTAATTGGAATTCCAGAAGGATATAATAGAGGACATGAAAAGGATACAATATTCCAAGAGATAATTGCCAATAAATTTCTACAATTGTTGAGAGATATGAAACTTTTCCCAAAAATCCAAAGCAGAGAAGAGAGAGAAAGAAGTCAAGATTGGACTCATTATAGTGAAATTAAAGAATAACAAAGTAAATGGAAGGTCTTGAGGGCAGGCAGCAGGAAAGAAAGACAGATTACCTAGAAAGGTACTGTGATGAGGCTGATATCTGAATTCTAAACTGCAACAATGGAAAGCAGAAGAAAATTGAATTTTCTCTTGATGTACTAAAGAAAAATGGTAAACAGAGAAAAAAAAATTTTAAGAAGAGTTTAAAACATTTTAAAACAAACTACAAAACAAAACCAAGAGAGCTTTCCATCAACAAATGCTTGCTGAAGGAAATTCTAAAGGGTGTAGACCAGACAAAAAGAAAATGATCCCACATGGAAGACCTGAGGTGAAGGATGGAATGACAAGCAAAGATCCTGAGACACATGGGTAAATCTAACAAAACATTGCTAGAGAAAGCAATGATATTAAAGTCTGATATGTGGGGAGACTTTATATAAAAGAGAGAGAGAACTAAATAAATACCAATAATAATAGCAACTAAGAGTGCTAAAGGAGTCTAAGATCTTGATATAGTTCATAAGAAAGGAAAAGGCAAGGCTGGCCTTCAAATAGAGCAGCAGTACTACTATCTAGGTTTAAATACTGAAGTGCGGGTCGGCACCTGTGGCTCAAGCGGCTAAGGCGCCAGCCACATACACCTAAGGTGGCAGGTTCAAATCCCCAGCCCGGGCCCCCAAACAACAATGATGGCTGCAACCAAAAAATGGCCAGGCATTGTGGCAAGCGTCTGTAGTCCCATCTACTTGGGAGGCTGAGGCAGGAGACTCGCTTGAGCCCAGGAGTTGGAGGTTGCTGTGAGCTGTGATGCCATGGCACTCTACCCAGGGGGATAGCTTGAGGCTCTGTCTCAAAATAAATAAATAAATAAATAAATACTGAAGTGCTTCTGTAAAGAGAAATTCTTCACTTCTTGAGACCACAAACTACCTAACAACATCATTCAGTGTTGGTCACAGAGATGGGAAATGGGCCTGATGTGGTGCAGCATGGAGTGGTGAACAAGGCAGCACTGCTCTGGACTAGCCCAGGGCAGGCCTAAGGGTCTGAGGCCGTGATGCACCCGAATAGGGAATCCAGAGCACTGTTGTTGGCTAAGGCTATACCACGGACTCTCCACACCTGGCCACATGGGTAGAGCCAGATGAAACTCAGTCAGTGCTGGGTACCAGGGAGCTAATGTCTATCATTGTAGTGACACAGTTAGAAGAATCTTTGTGGCTCCCTTGTGACATCATGACTCAGGCAGGAGCTTCCTTTAACTGATGGTAGAATGATTTAATGAACAATTTGTGTTAGAGCTTCTATCAGTTTTGAGCACTTTCTGGACAGGTAGAACTTAGGTAATAAAAGGATAATTTTCATTTATACATTAGTTGTTACATTACTTTATAGTGTCATCCCAGTAGTTCAATGTATTTGGCATCACCTCAAGGTAAAGGTATTAAGATCAGACTTTAAGTATGCACATTGAAATACTGGGAATTAATCAAAGCATACATGTAAGAAAAATCATTTAGAAACTAGTAGAAAGAGAAAAATGAAAAGGGAAAATTAAAAAGCAAGAAACTGCCCAGTACCCAAGGCCAGGGTAGTCTTATTTGTTGAGGCCACAGAAGCTCAGTAAACACTTCAAGTGGCAACCAGGAAAAAGCAAAGGGCAGGGAGATAGAGGCAGTCCTCAGGACCCTGGGTTAACAGATGGGGCTGTGGGGCCCTTCCTTAGGGAGGTTCCAGGGTAAAGCAGGATGGGGAAGGAGGGGCAAGAGAGCTCTGAGGCTAGAAAGGTACATCCAGAGAGGAGGAACCAGCTCAGACACTCTACAGAGGAAAGAGTACAGCACTACAGCACCCATGCTGCCTCTTGGGCCCAGGGGCTGTCCAGGTGCACTGTCAGGAAGACAGGCTTGGCCAATGCGATCAGTGGACACAGCCTGCCATAGATCTGCCAAGGCCCAGCAACAAGAGCTCTTGGGCTACCCTGACCTGCAGTGCTCAGAGCTGTACCACCATGCCCAGCTCTGCACCAGGGTATTCCAGGAGAAATCTCATGCCGCTAAGGCCTGAGGTCAGAATGCACCAGCTGGTCCCAGTGGAACAAAGTCTGCCTTTAGCTCTTGCTCCAGGGCCCCTCATACCCCACTTCTAGAGGTGAGCAAGCTGGCCCCTTCCCTTTGTGAGGCCACCCAGCCATACTCTGGTCAGTCCCACACAGACAGCAGCTGAGTCTAAGGAAACAGGATTTGCCCAAGGAATTCAAACTTACAGCCAGACCTGGACAGGAGTGAAATCACTGTGTTAGTGGCACTGTCCTTTGAGGACTCCTGGGATATGGCTAAGAAGAAATACCGTGAAAAAATACTAAGCTTTGTTCCAGGTACCATGCAAGGCAGTTGCACATATATTAGTATCATCTCGGTTTTCATAACGACCCAGCAAGTTAGGTACTCCTGTTTTCCCTTGGTGTATCAGCGAGCAAATTGAAGCTCAGAGGTTAAGACCCTCGTCCAAGGTTGAGATATAACCAAAGTCCTATTTATCCCAGAGCTATCCCCTACTCCATCCCAGCAGGGCCCAAGCCCATGTTCCATTAGCCTTTTCTAAACCAAATTCTAGGCGGGCAGACAAGACCTAGTCCCTTTGGATCCTCTACATGGAGTAAGAAGCAAAATGCACAAAGGCTGCTTTTAGCTGGCCATGTCCCTGCTCAGCCAGGAAACCAAGCCCTGGGGACAGGCAGGGCCCCATCCAGAAACCCCTGCTGCCTGTTCTCTGGGATGCAGCTGTTTGTTGCCCTGGAAATGATGACCTCACATCTGGTTTAGTACTTGGGTACTGGCCACTTCTTCACCATCAATGGTGAGGTCCCCTGTTGGGTGATTAACTTTGCACAGTGAGTTTTCTCCTGCCGCTGCCTGAGCTCAGAGCTTTCAGCTTCTCAGCTTCACCCAAGGCCTCAAAAGCTTCACCAAGACGGAGTTCCCACACCCTTAAGGGACCAGCTCCTACACTTGCAGGGCCTAGTACAAAATAAATTATTTCTTACTAATACTTCTGTCCCTGTTCAACAATGAGTAAGAAGAATATCAAGCATTTTATCCATGACAATACCAGGTAACTCGGGCTAGCCCAAGTGCTTTACAGACACAAGCCCATTCTGTCTTCATGGTGACACTAGGAGGTAGACACTTTATAGGCTCCACTGATGGTGAGCTGAGAAGCTAAGTAATCTGCTCAGAATCGCACACCTGATGAGGGCTCATGCTGGGAGTCAAGCTGAGGCATTCCACATCATTTAACCACACTGCTAGACAGCTCTCTAGTCTAGTGTCCCACCTTCATATGATGTAGGTCCCACTGTCCCTCCCTGAGTAGGAAGGTTGCTTTGCTGCAACAGCTCACCTAAGTCTTGAAGGTGCTGCCAACACACTCAGCAGGCAAGGCAGGGAGGGCAGGGCCTAAAGGAGGGAGAATCCTCTGGCCCCAGAACTGCAGCTGCATGTGGAAAGGAGGACAGAGCAGAGCGATGGGCTCCACTGCAGACCCCTTGTGACGCCCTGGGCCATCTGCTGTCTTCCCTATTGGGCCATTAGCTCTGGAATTACAGTGCCCTCCTCTGCCCTGTTCACAGCTGCATCCACAAGGCCTGGCACATTGTAAGTGCTCAGTAAGTTTTTGTGTACTGAGCAGATGTAAAGCCCTGGGCCCTAGGCCCTGCCACAGAAACACGCTCATCCCTTAAATGGCTTGTCCTAAAGGTTTCTTTCTTTCTTTCTTTTTCTTTCTTTCTTTCTTCTTTCCTTTCTTTCAAGACAGGCTCTTACTTTGTCTCCCTGGATAGAGTGCCATGGAGTCATACCTCATAGCAACTTCAAACTCCTGGGCTCAAGCAATCCTCTTGCCCCATCCTCCCAAGAAGCTTGGACTGCAGCACTACAGCTCAGCACAACGCCTTGCTATTTTTTAGGGATGGGGGGGCTCAGCCTGATGCCATGGTTCATGCCTATAATCCTAGTACTCTGGGAAGCCAAGGAAGGTGGATTGCCTGAGCTCATAGGTTCAAGACCAGCCTGAGCAAGAGTTGGTCTTGAACCAATGACCACCCATCATAATGTTGTGGTCATTAGGAAGGTCTGACAAATGTGTACAACAATTTAAACTGTGATGGGAAAACGGGAGACAAAAACTGTGATGGAAATATGAAAAGATGTTGCTGCAGAGAAAGACTGTGATAGAAAAGGGTAGGATGAAGCCGGGTGTTGTGGTGGGTCCCTGTAGTCCCAGCACCTCAGGAGGCTGAGGCAAGAGAATCCTAAGCCCAGGAGTTAGAGGTTTCTGTGAGCTATGTGAAGCCATGGCACTCTACCGAGTGCGATAGAGTGAGGCTCTGTCTCTACAAAAAAAAAAAAAAAAAGATAAGGATAGGATGGTAGCTGTAGCTATATTGTTTGATTGACCCATATATGAATTCTTCATATTTTCAGAAGATTTATGCCACGGAAATATTATTTTCATTCAAACAATGCAATTAATGAGAAAACTTTTTTGTTTCTTTGATTTTGAGACAGTCTCACTTTGTCACCTGGGGTAGACTGGTATTGCATCACAGCTCACAGGAACCTCAAGCTCTGGGCTCAAGTGATCCTAATACCTCAGCCTCCCAAGTAGCTGGAACTACAAACAGCCACCACAATGCCCAGCTAGTTTTTCTATTTTTAGTAGCGATGGGGTCTCCCTCTTGCTCAGTTAGTCTCAAACTCCTGAGCTCAAGCTATCAAACCACCTCAGCCTCCCAGAATATTAGGATTATAGGGGTGAGGCACCATAAGCTTTGTGGATCGCCTGTTGCCCAGCAGTCACCCACAGTGCAGGAGCTGCCAGGCAATGCACTGAGGGAGCCAGGGCTTCTGAGCTCTAGGCTAGAGCCTTTTCCACCACCAGCCTTCATCACTCAAACTTTCTCTTGTGGCTTTGACGTCCTAACCTGGTGTACTGGTCAGAGGCTGAAATCAAAGAAAGCCAATTCTGTCTGATTAAAGAAGATATTAGAAGATTTTCTTTTTTTTTGAGACAGAGTCTCACTTTTTCACTCCCAGTAGAATGCCCTGGCACCATAGCTCACAGCAACCTCAAACTCTTGGGTCCAAGCCATTCTCTTCCCTCAGCCTCCCTAGTAGCTGGGAATACAGGTGCCTGCTGTGACACTCAACTTTTTTTTTTTTTGTCTAGCAGGCCCAAACTGGGTTTGAACCCACCAGCCCTGGTGCATGTGGCTGGTGCCCTAACCAATGAGCACAGGCACAGTCCATATTAGAAGATTCTTGAGTAGCTCATAGTCCTAACAAAGAGTTATACAACAAATCAACAGGACCCAAAGATGCTGAAAAAGCAAGGACACAGCCAGTATAAAACCAAAAAAAAAAAAAAAAAAAAGGAAAAACCTCTGCTACACACACAGATACTGCGGAATCCTCCTGCCATGGGGGCCGCTGGACTTTTGACTCTACTGCTACTGCCACAATAATCTCTGTCTCTCCATCTGCACTCATCCCTTCTAGACTCAAGGTCATCCACTTAGTCATGTCTTGGCCACGTACCTGTGTCATAGCTGCCAGGGGTAGCAGCTTCCTGAGTGGGAGGCTCAGCTTGTCTCCTGCCAAGCCCCACACAATGCTGGAGAACATGGCTCTTCCCAAAAAGAGGAATTCAAATGGAGAGTGACCATTTGACAGTATAGGCTACCCTTGTTCACTCCGTTTTCCACTGTTCCTCCCTCCTTCTTGTTCTCAACCTGCCTAAAGTCAAACTTGCCAGCATCACTCAATGGTCCCTCACAGTTACAGAATCTAAACCAGCAGAGGTAGCCAGAGCTTCAATATTTTTCCCAGCTCCAGTGTCAGAGGATGGGCCTGTGTATGAGTCTGGCTCAAGGGGGTTCCTGAGGTTCTCCCATCCTAGAGACAGTACCACCTGCAGCCTGCAGATGCCCCTGACCCAGGCACAACCCCGCCTCCATGCTGGGTGTCTTAGTCCATTCCAGCTGCCACAACAAAGTCCTGCAGACTAGGTAGCGTATAAACAACAGAGATTTATTCTCAGTTATAGAACCTGGGAAGTCCAAGATGAAGGTGCCAAGAGATTCAGTGCCTGGTGAAGGTCTTCTTCCTCATAGATGGTCCCCCCACCTGTGTCCTCACAGGGTGGAAGGGACAAACAAGCTCTCTGGGGTTGCTTTTATTAGGGTGTTTGTCCCATTCATGAGAATTCTGTACCTATAATCTAATCATCTCCCAAAAGTTTCCACTTCTTTTTTTTTTAAGATAGGGATCTTGCTATGTTGCCCAGCTCAGGAGATCCTGAACTCAAGAGTTCTTCTCACCTCAGCCTCACTAGTAGCTCAAACTACAGGCATGCACTACCCTACTTGGCATCCATTTTTTTGTTGATGGATACAGGGTCTTTCTCTGTTGCCCAGCATGAGGGCAGTGGCATCCTCATAGCTTACAACAACTTCAAACTTCTGGGCTCAAATAATCCTCCTGCCTCAACCTTCCAAATAGCTGAGACTACAGGTGTGCACCATCACACCCAGATGATTTTTTTCTATTGTTTTTTAGGCATTACACTTTTAATAACATCACCATGGGAGTTAGAATTTTAACATGTGAATTTGGAGAGGACACAAACTTCAGATCATACCTTTGGGTTCCACCATGTAGGGGCCTGAACCTAAGCCCTAGGATCCCACTGTGCCAGCCAGGTGAGGGCACTTAATCTAAGCCTGTCTATTCCATTATTTGACAGGGGACCAGGTAGACGTCTCCCTGTTCCAAGTGGCACACTTTAAAGAGGAGGGGATGCTCCTGGAGAAGCCAGCCCGGGTGGAGCCACATTACATCATCCTGGAAAACCCCAGCTTCTCCCCCATGGGAGTTCTACTGAGAATGGTCCGCACGGCCCTGCCCTTCATTTCTGTCACCTCTGTGGTGTTGTTGTACCATCATCTCAAATGTGGGGAGGACACCTTACATCTGTACCTGTTCCCTAGTGACTGCTCCATTCAGAAGGTGACACTAAGAGCCAGAGAGGGTGGGCTAGGGTGGGCTGATGGTAAAATACAAAATGCAGCCAGGGAGCCCTCAGAGAGGTCCTTGATTAGGAATAAGGTTGGGCCTCTTATAAGCAGGAACTCTAAGTGGGTGACAGTCCTGAACCCTACTCGGCAACAGGCTGTGCACTTAACTCCCCAGGGTCCCCCCAGCTGGGTTTGATGCTCCATCACTGGCCTTTGCACAGCAGTTTGTGGCCTCTTTCCAGGAGTCAAAGAGTGGCAGGGCCCTGTGCCTAAAACCAGCCTTTCCCCTTTATCACTTCTTCTCTAGGAATGACCCTTTCCCCTACCCTGAAGATAGCAGAGGTCCAGTGCAGGGCTGTCTGTGTGGCTTGGGGTACAGTGGGGGGTGAGGGACGGTATACCACCCCTGCCCCACAAACACACAGATGACCATCTCACCTATTCAGACCAGATCCCATGGGGCAGAATCCTGTCTTAGTCATTGTCCTGTATGTTCCTTAGGCCATTGATGATGAAGAAAAACAGTTACACGGTGTGAGAATATACAAGCCACCCCCATCGACCTCACTATATATAGGCTGTCGCTACACTGTGTCTGGCTCAGGCAAATTGGAAATATTACCCAAGGTGAGCAGCCAGTGTTTGTCCCCTGGCCACTAGGATCAGAAGGCATGCTCAGGAATGCCTGTGGGGCAGGTGTCAGGGCTGTCCTAGAGAGGGGGCATATAGGGAGGGGTTGGATAGAAAGGTAGAGGGGTTTGGGGTGAGTGGGAACACTGCAGTGTTGGGGGAAAGGAAGGAGGAGCACATTGAAGATGCAGAGGACAATGGGGTTGGATTTGGGGTCCCAGGGAAGTGCCTGGGCTATAGGATGCCAATGCCCTCCAGTGAAAACCCACAGAAACACACCTGAAGCCCAGCACTGGGCTTGTTGCTCATTGTGGCAGGAGAATAACACACCAGGAAACCATGGGACGTCTCAGTAAAGGGTGACAGAAAGAATCTGCTATAAGACTTAGGCCTGGCTTAGGTGATTTGGGGGAAGGCCTAAGGACACAAAATTCACTCAAATGAGAAATATGCCAAAGAATAAAATAATACTATACATAATTTTTTAATGTATTATATATGTAAATTGTACTTATGTTGAAATTTAAAATATATGTATTACAATACTATTTTGTGTTCTATGAAAATTTTGTTGCTCTTTGGCATATTTCTCATTTGAGTGAATTTTTTTTTAGTAGATTGCTGTCGTTATTTAAAAGGTCTCGATAATCAGTTCTCAATAATTATTTGTTATTATTAAAGTTTACCATTATAAAATTAACAAAAATAATATAAAACTCATATCCTGGCGAAATAGCCACATGGCAGCTGAAAACTATATATTTCCTTCCCATTCTCCTGCCATTCCCTAGCTTGTCATGCATTCTTTCCAAAAATCGAGACTTTTTTAAAACACTGCGTGATGCAGGACAAATTGTTAAAAATCAGGACTGTCCCGCAAAAGTGGGACGTCTGGTCACCTTGCACTAGGAAGACAGGCTTGGGGCTGGAGGAATGAGGGTTTGGATTCAAGACGCAGGAGGTGAAGGAAGAAGGATCTGGTTCAAGATGCTAAAGAAGGATCTGGCTCAGAATGACAAACATTACTTATACAGAGGCACTCTGATTAATCCGTGACATACCAGCTGTGTCCTCATCCTTCTCAGTCAAGATTTCCGGAAAGTTGGGGAAAGAGCAGGTACTGATTTCAGCACAGGAGGTCATGACAGTGTTGAGCAGGGCCAAGTAGGTGTCAGGTGTAGGAAAGACCTCACTTGAGGGATGAACATGATGGCAACTCTCTGTCTCTTCAGGAACTGAAGCTCTGCTATCGAAGCCCCGAAGAACCCCAGCTGTTCTCTGAGATCTACTTTGAAGCCTTGGGGTCAGGGATCAAGCTCCAAATAAGAGACAAGAGAGATGAGACTGTGGTATGGGAGGCCTTCCTGAGACAAGGTAAAACCAGGATAAGTCCAGGGAGCACAGAAGGGGGGGGGGGGAGGAGAAAGCCAGTGAGTATGTGTGCACATGTGTTTGTGACAGTAAGCATTATCACAATTTTTATTTTTAAGACAAAGTCTCACGCTGTGGCCCAAGATAGAGGGCTGTGGCATCAGCCTAGTTCACAGCAACCTCTAACAACCGGATTTAAGGGATCTTCCTGCCTCAGACTCCTGACTAGCTGTGATTACAAGCACCTGCCACCACACCTGGCTAATTTTTCTATTTTTAGTATAGACAGGGACTTGCTTTTTTTCAGGCTGGTCTCAAACTCCTGAGCTCAAGGAATCCTCATGCCTCAGTCTCCCAGAGTGCTAGGATTACAGGCATGAGCCACAGTGCCCAACCCATTGTCACAATTTATTGATGACAAGAAATAGTTCAAGGTAATTAGGTGACTTTATCAAGTCACAAAACAGTTGTGACCAGAATTTAAATTCGTTGGTGTCTACATTCTCTCTGGTGCACCATGGTGTCTCCACCTTGCCCCTGAAGTAGCAGATCTTGACATCCACAGGCTTTTGGAAAAGTTTCTCATGATAGATTGGATGAGGGATAAAAAGATTAAGAACTGGATGGTTATGTGGCTATGCATGAATTAGGCCAATTTCAGCAATAGCATGTACTTTCCCCAGGATCATTCAATATTTTTCAGGTGGATAAGAGAATAATGAACTTTCAGTGGTGAAGAAATCTCATAGCCTTAATCCAGCACCGCCACACTAAGAACCAAAATCCCCCAAATAGTCCTTCTAGGGACAATCAGCTCTTGTCAGCCATCAAATAATGGAGCTGCCTCCTGAGCTGCTCTAAACAGGCAATATACACTGGTGGAAAGAGGGCAGGCTTTACCCAACTTGGCCTGTGTGCAGCCACAGGTGGAGAACTAACCAGCCCCAGCTTCAGGCCTGGGGTCGAATCCCATTCTGGCACTGATTTGCTGAGGGATTTGGGTTTTACTTAACTTGTTTGACCTCAGATTCCTCATCTGTAAAGTGAGGATCATAATGACTAACTTGTCATTATGGAAAGATTAAATAAACAGATGCTTGAACATGCCTCATGCCGTGGAGCTTGATAAACAGTATTCATTCTCCCCATATTAAGCCATTCTCTTCTTCCTAGCAGTCTTAATTCCATCCCTTGGAGCTCACAAAAGTCTATCTCTTTCCCTATTGGAAAACCTGTCAGATTCTTGATATGTTCATGGCCTTCTGTATGTCTCCTCTTATAGAAGTTAACAACCCGAGTCCCTTCCATAATTTCTCTTCTATTTTGGTTCTTAAATTGTTTGCTGTCAACATTCTCCAAAAATGCTCTCGTTGTGAATGACTCAGGATTGACTCCCAGAATGTTCAGTCTGCATGGAGGATGTGGAACGCCCTCCTTCCTCTGTCCAAATGGACCCTGTGCTCCCTGTACCACAGTCTGTGTCCCTCTCCTACCCTGAGAGGTCACTGTGAACTCAGGTTCTGCTCAGGCTCTCAGGCCTTGTTCACACAAACTGCAATGAGCGCCTTCTTTCTCTCCTTTACATGAATTTTTTTAAGTCTCTTCTCTCTTTTGGGGGGAGGGGCGGGGCTTCGTATTAAAATTCACTCATTCTTTAAGCAATCATGTTACGATTACTGAATCTTCATTCTTGATTCTGACATCCAAATCCAGAATTCACATGTTCAGTCTGTGTGAGTCTAGAAGGCCAAACAGGAAAGGGAAGTCAACTTCTACTCAAAATAAGATGACAAATAGTTGGGGGGTTTTGTTTGTTTGTTTGTTTGTTTGTTGTAACAATTACCCACAATGTTTGGACAAACAACATCAAATAGTTTTAAGCTTTAACTAGCAAGAGATTTGGTTAGTTCTCTACCAGGGATTCAGTTCAGGCAAAGAGTGGATAAAACTGCATTTGCAATGTGTAGGATAAATTACTACTGCTCGCTCAGATGACTTCTCTTTCTTTATTAGTCTACGGTCATTGCCCCTGGGCTTCAGTTTCCCCATATGCATAAGGAAGAGATTCTGCATCAGGGAATCTCAGGAGTGACTGGAACCTGGAGGTGTGTCATGTGTGTTAATAACTAGTACTGAAAGAGGTGCCCCTTCTTCTGTTTTCCCCAGGAGATCTCGGACCTGCAGCTGCTCTGGGCCCTCCAGTCACCATAGGTCAGTAACAGCTCTTAGAGACTGCAGAAGCCCTTGGTAGTTCCAGGGTATACTATATGGGCTTGGATAGAAAGGAAGAGAAAACGAAAGGGATTCTATCATTGCAAATCTCATAATGATCAGTTCTGGGAGAGTGGTGCATGTCCTGGGGTAGAGTCCCCTCCATCATCCAATAGTTGCTGCCCACACAGGTCCTGTAAGCCCCCACTCAATGACATCACATACCCTCATGATGAACCCTACTACCACACCCTGCTTGGGCAGAATACCAGGCTAGATGCTGACGTGAGGGTGGGCAGAGATGTTTTCTGATGATCAGATGCCTTTCCAGTGGGAAAAGGAAACCAAGAATGCAACCAGGAGAAAGGAAAGAGCTGGAGGTGGGGGGGGGGTTGGAGATAGAGGCTGTGATGGGAACCTTTCTTTCTTTGTTGCCAGCCCCACCTTCACCCCCAGATACCCCAGCCTTGCTGCACTTCGTGGACAGGCATCGAGAGCAGCTGGTAGCGCGAGTGACATTGGTGGACTCTGTTTTGGACAAGCTGCATGGACAGGTGCTGAATGATGAGCAGTATGAGTAGGTGCGGGCTGAGGCCACCAGGCCAAACCAGATGCGAAAGCTGTTCAGTTTCAGCAAGTCCTGGGACGAGGCCTGCAAAGATCAGCTCTACCAAGCCCTGAAAGAGATTCAGCCTCATCTAATTTTTGATCTCTTGGAGGGAAAAGGGGGGTTGAAAAGGCATCTCTGGCCGCACAGAAGTTGAAGTCTGAACCTCCACCTTTGAGTTTCTGGCTCTGCTTGACCCTTATTTAGGTCTTAATTTCTTCATTTATAAAAAAATTGCCATCTGACTTTCCTTCCAGCTGCAAAGTGATGGAGGACTGATGCTGCCTCAAAATGATTATATGTCCATGCCCAGCAATGCCACACAGGCCCCAGGCTGCCTCCCTTGGCCTTTACAGGCCAGCAATCCAAGTGGGAAAACAACACCTCAGGGAATGCCATCTGCTGGCAAGAGTCCTGCAGACCTTGTAAAGCCTGATCTGGTGGCCACCACAGCCAAGCCTAGAGAAGTCCCCCTCTAAGAAGATGCAAGGAAGAGTAGAAAGGACATGGGACTGTTTACTTCTGAGGGAGAGAGAAATTGAAATGTGCACATGTCCATGGCAGGGGGGAAGGTTGACTTGGTTATGAATTGTGGAGGGCGGTGAAGATTTATGATTTATTTTTTCAGTTGTTGTTCTATCCAGACAAACCAAATACTATGTTGGGGAATCACCAAAAAAATAGAAATAAGGGAATTCTCACAAGGGAGAGCACCAAACAGTCCCAAGATGGAGTCTAGGAGTTCAAAGAAAGAAGCAGTGAACATGAGAATGATCAGTTCAAAGCACTTATTAATAATAATAGTGGAACTTACACACAGAGTGGGTAGCAGTGAACCCTCCAGACTGTAGAAAAAGGGGTGTTCTACCTACTAATGCCCACAGTGAGGGAGTCAGGTATGGAGTTAATATGAGGGTTTCAGGAATTTGGCTCAGGGAAAGGGCCACTTTCTTTCAGTGTTTGGGGCAATAAGCTAGATGTTTTTATCAGTCCCTAAAAAATTTTCATGGCTCTACTATTGGTTTAAGCCTGCTGGGAAAAACTGGCAGCTGGCTGGGTACCAGAGTAGTTGAGGCATTCTGTGAGTTTACAGGCAGGATACAGAAAGAAAGCAGAGGCAACTGGGAGGATGCTACATACCTTGTGGAGTCACTGACTTTTTTACTCAGGTCTTGTTGCTAACATGTTCAATTAAGTTAGCTGGCTATGGGAATCGGCATCTGGAGAGAAGAGTGTTTCTGAACTTTTGTTCCCAGCTCCTTTACATGTCCTGTAATGGTATAGAGTCCAGTAGGGCACAAACACTTTAAGAAAGAGCATGATCTAAGATCCAGATGTTTATGGCTATTTTCTGATCCCATGTAGAAATAGCCTGTGTAGAAGGAATAAAATTGTCAGGACTCTCCACTCAAGACTTAGACTCTCTGCTTCCAAAGACAAGAAAGCTGTATATAATGATTTCAAGGGATTCCAGATCAGATGCCCATGCTGGCAGTTCTTTGTTAAATGTGGCAAGTGTACGATCTGCACCAGAATTTGATGTCCTCAGCAGTCTTAAGAGGAAAACAGCGCTGTATTTGTTTTAGACATTGTTTTTTCTCCAAATCACCAAAGTCCTCATGAGAAGCAAGGGAGAGCCCTCTTAGGACAAAACTATTTGCTTGTATTGCCTTGCACTTGGTATCACATCTCTATCAATAACAGATTAAACCATGGAGAAGAAAGAATCTCTGAGTTATAGGATAAGGCTCTTGTTTTTATTTTATTTTATTAAGTCAAATACACATAGACAGAAAAGAAGAGAATAAGAGCAGAGCAATCCCTTATACAATTATGAGACCTCACAAAGCATTCAAACATATATAAATTACAGGTATCCTTGAAGGAGAATAGTGACCCAAGGATATGGAAGCCCTACTGGTGGGTATCATAACCAAAAATTTCTCAAGCATCACCAAAGATTCTCACACACTCCTTTTAGATGGATACAACCTTTGGGTCTTCTCAATACAGAGTATCTCCTAAACACATTGTGATGAACATGTCCAAAGTCAAGTTGAAAGAATAAATTATGCAAGCAGCCAAAAGTAAGCATCAATTGACTGACAGGGCAGACACACCAGGGTGACAGCAGACTTCTCAGCAGAAAGTTTACAAGCAAGAAGAGACATTGAGGGTATTTGCCACTACATGACCAGCTTTGCAGGAAGTACTCAGACCCATACTACCCATGGGCCATCACAATGAACCGCCCACAAGCTAAAGATATCCAGAAAAAAAGGTCAGCTTCCACAATGGCTCAAGTGATAAAATTAGGTGTCAGACCTCCACAAAACAAGACAAACAGAACTCTACCAAATTTTTCAGTTCTCTCAATAAATATGAATGGCTTGAATTCCCCACGAAAGAGACACAGGCTAGATGACTGGGTAAAAAAGAAAAAAAAGACGAGCCAACTATATGCATCTTCAGGAAGCACATATAACCTCTAAGGACAAAACAAGACTCAGGGTAAAGATTCGGAAATCAATATTGCAGGCAAATGTAAATTAGAAGAAAGGAGGGGGTTGAAATTTTATTTGCAAATACAAGTGTACTTAAAGCAACAAAAGTAAAGAAAGACAAAGATGGACACTACATACTAATCAAGGAAACAACACAATAAGAATACATTTCCATAACAAATATATATACCCAATATAAATGCTCCCAGATTTATAAAACAAACCCAAACTGATCTGAACAATATGATATTCTATAACATCAATAAAGCCAAAGATTTCAATACCTCACTGACAGAAATGGACTGGTCCATTAAATAGAAACTAAACAAAGACACAAGGGACTTAAATAGAACCCCAGAACAATTGGACTCAATAGACATACACAGACCATCTCAAAGCTAATGAATATATGTTCTTCTCATTGGCCCATGGGTCATATTCAAAATAGATTATATTTTAGTGCCCAAATCAAACCTCAAAAAATTTTAAAAATAGAAATTATACCTCATATATTTTAGAATATAAGGCAATAAAGATAGAACTCAACTCCAACAAAAACCTTCACCCACACAAAGTCATGGAAACTAAACAACTTTATGCAGAATGACATCAGGGTCAAAGAGGAGATAAGGAAGAAAATTATTAGATTCCTCAAACATAAGAACAATGAAGCCACAAGCTATCAAAACCCATGGGATACTGCAAAAGTAGTTCTAAGAGAGAAATCTATCACATTAGATGTCCACATCCAAAAAACAGAAAAAGCACACATCAACAATCTAATCAATCATCTCAAGAATGTGGAAAAGAAAGAGCAATACAATATCAAACCTAGCAGAAGAAAAAAATAATAAAAATTAAGTCAGAAATAAATGAAAATGAAAACAAAAGAATCATTGAGAAAATTAACAAAACAAAAACTTGTTCCTAGAAAAGATGAACAAAATCAATAAACTAAAATTAGAAAAATAGATCTGTAAACAGAAACAACAAAGGGAGAATAAACACAGATATCACATAGATACAAGAGATTATCTCTAAATACTACAAGAAACTCTATGCCAAGATATTTGACAATATGGAACAAATGGACCAATAATGATTTAACCAGAAAAAGTAGATCTCTTTAACAGATAAATATCAAGCAAAGAAATTGAGGAAACAATAAAAAACCTCCCAGCAAAAAAACACGCTGGACCACAAAGTTTCATACCAGAATTCTTTTTTTTTTTTATTTAATGATAGTTGTGTACATTAATGCAATCATGGGATACAGTGTGGTGTTTTCATATACAATTTGAAATACTTTCATCAAACTGGTTAACATAGCCTTTATGTCATTTTCTT